CTGTCCTGGCTGCCTCAGTGTCCTGAACGGATTCAGAATGTTTCCTTTTCATGGTCATTGTGACTTTGGGGAAGAGCCGGGAGTCATGTGGTGAAGATTCAGTGACTAAGGTGGGTGACAACACAGTGTCATGTTTCTTTTTGACGGAAATTGCCGTGAACAGTGCCAGAGAGAATGTGGCCATGATGGTGGAAGAAAGCCAAGGGAAAGTCAGTGCGTTGGAGGGGACATTTAGGACCCTGGAACCCCTGCTGCCTCCCAGCCTTTCCTGAGCAGAAGATCCGAGGCCACCAGCCGTTCACCTCCAGACTTCCTGTTATGGAAGATGAGCTCGGGTTTGGCAGGTTTTCACAATCTGCAGCAGAAAGCATTCCTAACATCCATTTTGTGCATCTAAAATCCTCAGTTTCTCTAATGTTGGCTTTGAGGTGTTTCTAGCTCTGGGCTTTTGGTCTAGGCCAGCATCCGCTGTTACTCATGTAGCAGAGAACAGTGTCTGTTTCCTCCCGCAGATTCCTGGGATTTAACGTGATGCCAGTGGCTGACACTATTTTTTTTTCTTGGTGGTTTGTGACAGGGTCTTGCTTAGTAGTTCAGGCTGGCCTTGAACTCACAGTGATCCTCCTGCCTCAGCCTCTCAGGTGTTTTGCTTAGATAAAGTTAACCATGAGATTTTCCTAGACTCAGCTTCTTTTTTTTTGGTAGTGGGAATTGAACTCAGGACCTTGCTCTGCCAGGCAGGCACTTGTGCCGCTGAGCTATATCCCTGGCCCTCCTAGACTCAGCTTCTGCCCACAGTGCCTCGCAGGTCCAGAGTGGTGAGATCCAGAGTGAAGCTTCCCAGGCCTCTTAGTATCGAGGGGACCACGAGGAAAGATCACCCACGGGGAGCTGTCGCAGCACCCTGGCATCTGTGCAGATGGTTCCCAACCCCACATCATCTGAGTGGCCTGAAACTCTTGCTGAAGTTTAAATCTACAATGGCCCCAAGCCTCGGGTGTCTGGAGACTGATTGGATGGTGGGCCTCATAGTTGCGGTGCCGTTAGGAGGCGGGGTCTGGTGGAAGGGGTGGTCCTGGGGGCGTGGCCTGGGTGGGTTCAGCTCCTCCCCAGCTCCTCCCTTCTCTCGCTCGTCCCTGTGCCCCATACCCTGGGCAGCTCTTCTCCACCAGACCCCTTCCCAGCTGCTCCTGCCCAGAGCAGCTGACCCCACCAAGGCTGAACCTTCTAAAACATAAACCAAAGTAACCCTCTCTTCTTTTAAGTTACTTGTGTCGGGTATTTTGTCCCAGTGTGGCAAAAGTAACTAAGACACATTTCAAAAAGCAAGTTTCGGGTCGGGAATACAGCTCGGCAGCACAAGTGCCTACCTGGCAAATGCAAGGTCCTGAGTTTGATTCCTGGCACCAAAAAAAAAACAAAAAAAAAAAACAAAAAACAAACAAACAAAAAAAACATTGAAAAATAAAAAGCAAAAGATTTACAAAAAAAAGCAAGTTTACAGTTTTGTTTTCTCTGGAGCAGAAGTTTTTCATTCTCGTTCTCTTTCTCTCTCTCTCTCTCTCTCTCTTTCCTTCTCATGGAAATAAGGCAGCAAGCATGAGAATAAATAAAACTGACCCCAAAATATTTCACATAATAGAATTGTAGGAAATGAATGATAAAATTTCTACACTAAGAAAATTAAAATACAAGCTTAAAATGTCTTCAAGAAATAGAAAACTGCCGGGCATGGTGGCGCACACCTGTAATCCCAGGACTTGGGAGGCTAAGGCATGAGAATGAGAATTGCAAGTTTGAGGCCAGCCTGGGCAATTTAGTGAAACTATCTCAAAAAATATAAGGCTGAGCATGATGACACATGTCTGTAATCCCAGCACTTGGAAGGTTGAGGCAGGAGGATCACTATAAATGTAAGGCCAGCCTGAGCTATGTAGCAAAACCCTGTCTCAAAAAGACAAAAAGAAAAAATCTAAGAAGGGCTGGGGGCTGGGTGTGGTGGCGCACGCCTGTAATCCCAGCCCTCTGGAGGCTGAGGCAGGAGGATCTTTGCTAGTTTGAGACCAGCCTGGGCTACAAAGTGAACTCAAGCCCACCCTGAACGGCATAGCAAGACCCTGACTCAAAAAAAAAAAGAAAAAAAACAGAAGGGCTGGGGATGCAACTCCGCGCAAAGGCCCTGGATTCAATTCCCAGTACTTCAAAACAAAAAGAATTGAGAGCAGAAAAGTTATGGGACACGGGGGTGTTGGTGGGCCCCTTCCCATCTCAGGGAACAGGAGGTGGCTTCATTCTTGGGGCTGGCATCCCACATGCATTGGGGAATCTAAAAAGGGCTCTCCAGAGCACTGCAGGAGGACACAGAGCTGCAGCTGGAGACGCCCAGCGGATCAGGCAGCACTGGTTACATAACCGGGACAGCTGTGGTGACTCAGGGTGTGTAATGGGAAGATTCACATCGGTCACTAGGAAAGTAAAAGGCCGCCTGTGAGTCACGGGGCCGCCCTCCCTGGAGTCTCCGAAGCACAGACACCTGCCGTTGATTCAGAGCCTGCCCTTTGTCTTTCACAGCACTACTTCGTGTTTCACCACAGAGCTCCACCAGGGAGTGAGGGCAGGGCCGAGGCACCCAAAGGAGACCATAGCTAAAAGCGAAATAGCAGCTAATACCAGAAATGCCTGCTGTGGTCCAGAAGTGCTTGGAGTTTTTTTTTTTTTTCTGTCTTTTGAGACAGGATCTCCCTCTGTAGCCCAGGCTGGCCTGGAACTTGCGGCAATCCTCCTGCCTCAGCCTCCTGAGTGCTGGGGTCACAGGAGGGCGCGGCCCTGCTCACCAGGATTCGTTTTAATTTACCGCCTGAGACCATGTGGGCTTTTCTGGAAGCAATGCTTTAGTCAAGGCGTTGGGGAGCACTTGGGGGTTTCCAGGCAAGCTCTGCCCGCCCTGTGGAAATCCACTCAAACAATACTTCTGAAAGCACAGTGCTCCTGTGGTGCAGTGACAGGGTGACCTGGACCTCAGGAAGTTCCGGCTGGGCCGTGTGAAAACCTGCCCTCTGACGGCCCAGGAGTGACTCACGTGTTTTGATTCCATACTGGCCTGACCTACTTCTCCAGCCCCGCCCCTTTCCAGATTTACATATTCAAATTAGCCAACGTGTGCACATGTCGCTTGCCCACTGGCCCAGGGCCTCAGAACACCTGTGCCCACTTGTGGGGAGGAGGGATCTCAGACCCTAGTTCTTCCTGTGCTGTTTCTTGGAGGCTTCGAGGGCTGGTGCCAAGCAGAGCAGTCTCTGTGGTGATGGGCTCAGGCCTGGCAGCAGCTACTTGGGTACAGGGCACTTTCTTTCTCGCTGGGACAAAATATCTGACACCCACAATTTAAAGCAGAATTGAGGGGCTGGGGATTTAGCTCAGCGGCAAAGCGCCTGCCTGGCAAGCGCAAGGTCGTGAGTTCGGTTCCCGGTACCGGAAAAAAAAAAACCAAAAAAAAAAAAAAAAAAGCAGAATTGGTTTATTTTGGAGAGAAGGGAGGAGCCGGGGAGGAGAAACTCTTCCAGGCCACGCCCCTAGGACCGCCTCTACCAATTAGGCCCCGCCTCCTGACGGCGAGGCCGCAATAAGCCCTCATCATCCGTTCTGCTTCCAGAAGCCCGGTCTATGCTGGCCAGGGGCTTCGGGGACATCTGGGTTTAAACCAGAGGACACCGGAGTGGAACATCAACCTCAGCCTCCCCATGCTGGGATCACGTCCAGCTACAAATATTTTCAGCCAGCCCAGGCCTTGTCTTTTCCTTTGCCTAATGGTGTCTTTGAAGCGCAAAAGGTATTTCTTTCTTGCTTTCTTTCTTTCTTTCTTGTCTTTTTGAGACAGGGTCTCGCTGTGCAGTTCAGACTGGCCTTGAGTTCAGTTTGTAGCGCAGGCTGGTCTCGAACTTGCAATGATCCTCCTGCCTCAGCCTCCCAAGTGCTGGGATTACAGGAGTGCGCCACCACGCCCGGCTTATCATTTGGTTTGAAGCCCCACAGCATTTTTAATGTTCTTGCTTTGTTTTGTTTGTATTTTCCTATTTTTCTTTTTTTTGTACTTTTTTCTTTAAAATAAAAATAAAAAAAAAAAAAACTAGCCTGAACCACATAGCAAGACCCTGTCTCAAAAAGACAAAAAAATAATCAAATCAAATCAAATCACTCATACAGTCATATTCCTCAGTGTGACCAGCCTGCCTATTGAATCTGTTTCCTCCTGAGCCCGCTTTGCTACTGTGTGCTTCTAGGACTGCGCCCTTCCCTTCTCAGTGGTCTGGCTCCCTAGCCGGCAACCCTTCCCCTTTGATCGACACAGGTGGTGTGTCCCCAGGCATCTCTGGTTCTGCTAATGGTGATCTCTTGCTCTCTTCACACTTCTGGTAAAGGTGGGTCAATGTTGTTGATATCTCTGTCCCTCTGTCTCTGTCTCTCTTTTGGGGGTAAGGGGTACTGGGCCTTTGCATTGAGCTACACCTCCAGCCCTTTTTATTTTTTTATTATGAGACAGCGTCCTGCCAAGTTCCCCAGGCTGGGTTCAAACTAGTGATCCTCCTGCCTCAGCCTCCCTTGGGATCACCTTGCTAGTAGAGATGGAGGCAACATTAAAGCCCAGCTTATTGACAACCCTTCTTCCCATGTCCTTCCTGCTCTGTTCAAAACCCCTGGTAAGGGACAAGGCAGAGAGAGGCAAAAGCTAGAACTGCAGGTGCCCTTTGATATCATATGCAGGTAAACTGAGGCACCAGGGCTCCAACCAGCCTATCAGCATCTGAGCCCAGCAATCTTCCGGACCCTACTGCTACTCCAGATCTTCCAGACACCCAGCTGACACAGCCGTGTCAGTCAGTCACACCTGTAATCCCAGCATCCTGATAGGCTGAGACAGGAAGATCTCAACTTAGAGTCCAGGCTGGGCAATTTAGTAAGACCCTGTCTCAAAATAAAAAATAAAAAGGGCTGGGGATGCAGTTCCATGTGAAGGGTTCAGTCCCCACTACTACAAAAAAGAAAAGAGGAGCAGCAATGTAGGACTTTTAGCTTTTCCCAAATCCTGAAATATCACCATTTAATTGCTTAATTTTCTGCATTTGTTCATTTTAGACTAGCCCGGGGCTCTGCAACCTGGCATATTAGAGAACCTCTTGCTTTTTAATAATAACGCTTAGTGTTTATATAGCGCGTTTCATGTTCAAAGTGCTTTACAGACTTTACTAATTAATCGGAACACCGCCTGCTGCCCAGGGCAGGTTGGACCACGTTCTTGGCTCCTAATTATGGGGGGCAGAATCCCCTGCACCAACCTCGCTCACTCTCCGGACCATTTCTGTCCAAAGCAGACTGTGGGCCGCCAGTCACAGCTTCCCCTGAGCGGGTTCATGCGTGGAAGGGGGACCTGAGGCTGGGGCAGACACACCTCCTCCTGGGAGCCCCTGGGAAGGGAAGAGTCCAATTGAGTACTGAGTTAGGGGGAGGAGGGGCTTTGCAGAGTAAAGAGGAGTTCTCCAGGTGGAGGGCACAGCCTGCGCACAAGCGTAGAGGGAGCACTGAGGGGCAGGAACTCAGTATTTAGAGGATGAGGGGAGGAAAGATGGGTGCAGAGGCCAGACAGGTCTCTTAGGAGCTGGATTTTGCTGCAGGCAGAGGGTCTCTGGGGTCTTGTTTTTGTTCTTTTTCTTCTTTTTTTTACATAGGGTCTCACTATGTAGTTCAGGCTGGTCTTGAACTTATGGTGATCCTCCTGCCTCAGCCTCCTGAGTGCTAGAATGACAGAGTTGTGCCTGGCTTCTCAGGGATTCTTCCAGGTCAAGGAAGCAAGGCTGAACTGGGATGGACTCCAAGTGCAGAGGCTGGGGAGGGGCTTGGCGGTGGCCCTCCACGTGGAGTGGGCGGGGCTCAGGGACAGGGTGCCTGTGGCAGTTGCCCCCCAAGGCACTGTGGTGGGGCAGCCAGAGGTGGCTGCTGAGCTGGGGTCTGGAGCGTGCCGAGCCAGGATGGTGGCCAGACCCCGGGGCTTCAGTGCTTCTCTGTGGGGACGTCGGTGCGCTCAGCGGTGGGGGAGGCGGACGCAGCGGGCCGAGGTGAGGGCAGCGTCACGGGGGCCACCAGGTAGCACGGGAAGGGACAGCTGGGGCCGAGGCCTGGCACAGCTGCGGAGAGTGACGTCCCAGGCCCCTTGGCCTCCTGCGCACACTGTGGGCCGGAGCCTTGGCGTCGGAGCCTGTCCGTGCCCGTCTCTCTGGGACGTGATGGCAGGATTGGGGGCTGGAGGAGGCCTTGCTACGCCTTTGAGGCCCGGGGCTCCTCTGCGGCACCCAGGGCACTCTGCCCGAATCGCTTAGACTGGGCTCAAATGTGTGACCCTCCTTCCTCAGCCTCCCAGAGCACAGAGGCACGAGCATTCGCCACCACAGTCGGCTCTAGGCAAATTCTCCCGGGCTTGGACAGGATCCCAGCAGGCCAGGGGGACAGAGGAGAAAAGCACGAAGGCAGCAGCACGGCAGGTGAGCGGTTGCCACCGCGGGGAGGCGGGGAGGGAGCCGCCTGGAGCCAGCCCTGCGCCTGCGCACTCTGACTAACTCGTTGCTCACCGCTGCGCCTGGCGCGCGAACCCCCGGGGCTGGGGAGGAGGGAGGGAATTGAACACTAATAGCAGCCAGGCCCCGAGCCAAGTGATAATAATTAACTTTTATTGAGCCGCCCGCCACTCCCTCCTCCTTTCCTCCCCTGAAGCCCTGGGCAGAGGAGCCTGAGCATGGCCTGCCCTTACAGCCGAGGAGACCCAGGCCGGGACTGGAACCTGGCTCCGCTCGGGAGGCAGGCATCCCCGTGTGCAGAGGCATGGACAGCCACCCCTGCTGCCCACGGCCTCTGGGTGGCCCATGGGGTGGGGCGGGCCAGGAGCAGCGGTGACAGGTAACAGGGGACGGCTGACAGGTGACAGCAGCAGCTGCTCTCCGCCCTCCACTTCCTGTTCCGGCCCAGCCTGCTCGGACTCCCAGCCCTGCCGGGCCCAAGGTGCTGGTTTTATCGGTGACTCACAGGATTCAGACTCGGTGCTGAATGGGCTTGTGCCCTGCCCCGGGCCCTGAGTGCCAGCCTGGACGGTCCCTCCGTGTACACAGCCCACATCAGTGACCCAGCGGACAAGGACAGCACTGGACTGAATGCTCAACCTGGGGGACAGACAGTGTCTCCTCGTCTCAGCTGCGCCTAGGGAAAACTGGATGTGTGCGGTACTGGGAACCAAAGGCAAGGCCTCCCACGACAGGGTCCCACTAAGTTGCCCGGGCTGGGCTTCAACTTGCGCTCCTCCTGCCTCAGCCTCCTAGAGTATTTTATTAGAAACTCCTAAATCAGGTGTGGGGGCATATGTCTGTAATTCCAGCACTCAAGAAGCTGAGGCAGGAGGATCATTGCAAGTCTGAGGCCAGCCTGGATACACAGTGAGACCCCCACCCCCTAAAAAGAAAGAAACTTAAACCTCTTTGTGAGGTCCCTGTCCCTCCTTAGAGCCGTCTAACTTGCTCAATTCCATGGAGCTCTCCCAGCTCCCTTTGAAGCCTGGGAACTTCTGTCTTAGCCAGCAGACTCTGTCTAGTTCCCCTCCCGGTGACCGAGCACGTACAGCCTTGGCTGGGGCAGCTCACGAGGTGGGACCAGAGGTGGAGACATCCATGACCTGGAGGGCCAGGCAGTGCCTTCTGTTGGACGTGTGGGCTTGGGGACAGACGGGGCGCCCGATGCCAGGCCTTGCTCCTGGCGGGAGGTCACAGCTGGTGTGTCCCTCCTGACTCAGCCTCCTTATCTAAACAAAGACCGTGGCCATGGAAGCGGGCACTCAGAGGTATCTGAGTGAATAAACAAATGAATGAACAAATGAACGATGCCCAGGTCTCTGGGCAGTTGTGAGGGCTCAGGGTGATGTGGGTGTTTAAACACCTCCCGGCACCTGGCGGGCGGTCCCCAACTCATCATCATCACTGTCATTGGAACACGGGGGATGGAGCCCAGGGCCTTCAGACTGAGCGATGCCCCCAGCCTTTGGTTCAGTTTTGAAGACAGGGTCTTGAAAATTTGCTCAGCTGCAACAACAACAACAACAAAAATTAGGGCCGGGGATATAGCTCAGCGGCAGTCTGGCAAGCACAAGGTCCTGAGTCCCATTCTCAGTACCAAAAAAAACAAAGAAAAGAAAATTTGCTCAGTTAGCTGGGAAAGGTGATGGTGCACACCTGTAATCCCAGCACTCGGGAGGCTGAGGCAGGAGGACCACCATGAGTTAGAAGCCAGTCTGGGTTATATGAGTTCAAGGCCAGCTTGTCAAGGCCAGCTTGCACTGCATAGCAAGACCTTGTCTCAGGGCTGGGGATTTAGCTCAGCGGCAAAGCGCCTGCCTGGCAAGTGCAAGGTCGTAAGATCGGGAGTTCGGTTCCTGGTACCGGAGAAAAACCAAAACCAAAAAAAAAGACCCTGTCTCAAAAAAACTAAAATTAAAAAAATTTTTTTTTCCTAAAAAATGGCCCAGCTGAAACTTGAACTTGTGATCCTCCTGCCTCAGCCTCCCAAAGTGCGGGGACCATAAGCCAGACTAGTTACTCAGTAGTGGAAGGCTCTCCCTTCAGCAACTCCCTTCTTAGGTCAGAAGAAAGCCCTGCTTGGGCGCCCTTCGTCTTCCCAGGGGGCCGGGTCGTCCGCTCCCCTCTGCGCAGCCAGGCTGTCCCACCCCTCGGTCGGCCTGGTCCCGGTCACTGAGCACCGCAGGGCGGCCGGGCTGAATTACTCAGGGGCCGCAGCCCAGCCGTGCTCTTGCATCACCGCCACACGCCCACGGCTGTCACCTCCCGTCTGGCCCTGGCCCGCCCACCGTGACGCATGGGGATTGTGACAGCCATGCCCGGCTGGTGGGAGGCAGTGCCCAGGCAGGGGTGCCCAGAGCATGGCTCCTGGCTCAGGGTGACCTGTGCCTCGCTGGGCCTCCGCTACCAGCCAGCAGGGGCCCAGGCCAGCTTTGCGCTGTCATCAGGACCGCATCGTCTTCGTTTATTTTTAAAATTTCTCTTTATTTCCATTCGCGTGTCTGAGGTGCGCGAGACTCGCTGGAGTGGCGGTGGTTAGCGGCTGTGAGATGCAAGCAGGGCGCCACCCGCTCCCGCAGTTTCGAGTTATGAGACAGTGCCCCCGCAGAGTAAGATCCTGGTAATAGAAGGGCTGTGCTGGTGTTTTCTTTCGTGTTCGACGGATGGTTTTCACTGACGAGCGATCCCTAGACTAAACTCAAATTTCTTCAGTGATTCTTGGTTGGAAAAAAAGACAACATAACTGAGTTTTGTGAAGTACAATGTTGGAGGCAAAGGCGTCTGGGGGAAATGAAAGAAAAACAGCAAAAGGCTGATCATTAGTAAAGATGGAGCTGGGTGAGGTGGCGCAGGCCTTGATCCCAGCACTCAGGAGGCTGAGGCCGGAGGGTCACTGTGAGTCTGAGGCCAGCCTGGGCCACACAGTGAATTCCCGGCTTGGCCTCTCAAGGGCTGGGATGATGGCGCGTGTCCCTACAGCCGCCTTAGGACCAGCGTTTGGAGACTGGAGGTTCAGGACTCTGCACGCTCCTCGTCCCCTCGTTCCCTGCAGGGGTGATTTGTGGAATCTGCCAGGCTGAGGAGGGAGAGCGGAGCTCCTGGGCAACTCCCGTGGGATCTTTGCTGCAGTGCGGCCATCGCTGAGGCGCAGGAGTTCAGGTCGTGGTCACCTGAAAGGAGCAAAGGCATGGAATATTGCCAAGAGGAGGAGGGAGCCATCAGCGGCCATGCAAGGCTCCCCAGCAGCTGACCACCCAAGACCCAGGCAGGGCAGATCAGAACTGTGCCTCGAGTCTGGCTCATCCAAGGCAGAGTGGCTGTCATCAAGAACACAACACAAATGACTCTGGTTTATCCTTTTTGATGGCAGAGTAGTACTCCATTGTGTGTGGACACCACATTTTCTTTATCCATTCCTCTGGTGATGGATATACAGGCTGCCTCCAGGATTTAGCATCATAATATTAAGTGAAATAACTCACACACACAAGCTCAGCTGTCCCATGGTTTCTTTCCTATGAGAAAAGCAGCAGGTGTGATGGTGCATGCCTGTAATCCCAGCACATGGGAGGCTGAGGCAGGATAATCTTTGCAAGTTCAAGACCAACCTGGGCTACAAAGTGAGTTTAAGTCCAGCCTGCATATCGAGACCCTGTCTTTCAAAAGACAAAAACAAAAAATCTATGAGAAATTCAAAGTAGAAATAAAGAGCAGAATAAAAGCCAGGTCACAGAAAACAGGGAGAGAGATCCTCTACAGATGGGAAGGGGACTGAGGGAAGGGGCAGAGGGGACAGAAAGCAGGAAGAATTAAGGTGCATTGCAGTCACGCACCAGCTCCCCAGAGGAGCATGACCATTGTACACTGTGAGCCTGTAGTAATAAAAATGGAAAAAAGAAAACAAAGCATGCTGGCGAGGCTGAGGCTGCGGTGCGGGGTGGGAGGAGCCCACTGCACTGCCCGTGGAATCGTACTGAGGGCGGCCGCTGTGGGCGTCAGGAGGGAGCCTCCAGAGTGCTTGTGCCCAGCCCCGGTGAGTCAGCGGGCAGTGCATGAGCCCGGCTCAGTTGCCCTCTCCCTCAAGGTTTTCCCTCTTCCGGGGATGCACCCCGTCCCAGAGGATGTCACTGCCCAGGTTACACAAAACACCGGCTGGAGAGGAGGCCGCGGGCCAGGTGCCCTGGTTGCTGACACAGGGCCGTGTCGCGGGGCCAGTTCCCAGTCCCACTTCCTCTGAGTGTGGAAGTGTCCACCCAGGAGCAAGCCAGGCTATCCCCGTGTCACTTTCAGAGACGAGCCAGCTGCTTCCTTGCGGCTGGGGGGTCCGAGCTTGAAGGCAGGATGAGTAGGCCCCAAGGGACTGTGCCGGCTCTGCTGTCTTCTTCCGCTCGGCAGACACTTGCTAGGTTTATCCTGTGAGGCCACGGTCAGCATGTCGTCCTTGTTGTTGATGCTTAGTACGCCACTGTGTAAGTGTACAGTTCTGAATTTATCAGGTGATGGATGTTTGGGTTTACTTTTGGCTGTTACAAACAGTGTCATGGATGTTCACATGTGCATTTTTGTGTGAACTAAAGTTTTCAATTCTATCCTTTTTTTTTTTGGTATTGGGAATCGAACTCATGACCTTGCCCTTGCCAGGCAGGCACTGTGCTACTGAGCTATATCCCGGGCCCCTCAGTTCTCTTTATGTCTTAGTCCCTTTCCTGTTACTGGAACAAAATACCAGATACCTACAATTTAAGAATAGAGATTTGCTGAGCCTGGTGGCACATGCCTGTCATCCCAGCACTCAGGAGACTGAGGCAGGAGGATCATAGCAAGTTCGAGGCCAGCTTGAGCTACATAATGAGTTCAAGTCTAGTCTGAATTACAGAGTGAGACCCTGACTCAAAAAAAAAAAGAAAAAGGAAAGATGTATTTTCAGTGTTGGGTCCACGGTCGGCTGCCCCAAGGCAGGAGCATCATGGCGGAAGGGCGTGGAGGTGGAAATCCGCTCATCTCATGGCGGCCGGGAAGCAGAGAGGAAAGAAAAGCGCAGGACGGGAACACACCCTTCCCGGTCTCACCCCAGCGACCTCCTCCAGCCAGGGCCACGCTCACAGCACATGCAGGCCTGAGCTCACCCATGGCGGCCCCTCACCTTCCAGACGCCCTGGCTGTGACTGCAGGAGAGCTTAGCGCACGTTAGATCGAAGCCGGGCGTGTGGATGAGAATGGAGTTGCTGGGTCCCCCGGTCACTGTTTCGGAGGCACTGCCAAGCCGCTTCTGTGCAGGGCTGTGCCCCTTTACCTCCCCACCAGTGACAGGGCAGACCTCGGATCCCGCCCCCCTCCAGTGCTGGTAATTGCCGCCACCGGCCAAGCGGGGCCTCACTGGGCTTTGATGTGTCCTGCCATGCTCACCCCTGGGGCTGGGCACCTGTGCCTGTGGTTCCCGGCCATCCGCAGCCCCTTTTCAAGAGACGTCCACTCACATTCTTTGCCAATTTTTAATTTTTGGGTTTTTTTTTTTTTTTTTGGTTTTTTTGAGACTGGGTTTCTTTCTGCAGTTCAGGCTGACCTTGAGCTCACTTTGTAGCCTAGGCTGGCCTTGAACTCCCAAAGATCCTCCCTCCTGCCTCAGCCTCCTGAGTGCTGGGATTACAGGCATGCGCCACCACGCCCGGCTCAATTTTTTTTTTTTTTTTTTTTTTTTTTTGAGGCAGGATGTCGATATGTAGCTCAGGCTGGCCTTGAACTGGCAGCAAGCCTCCTGCCTCAGCCTCCTGAGGCTGGGATTACAGGTGTGCCCCACCATGCCTGGCCAATTTTTAAAATTTGATTTGTTTTTTAATTTTTGTGTTATGAGAGTTCTTTATCTGTTCTGGATACTCAATTCCAAGGTCCAAATGACCATGAAAGGAGTGGAGCCTCGGCACTCCTTCTCTGAGACACAGGGTTCTTTTCACGGTGACCACTGGGTTCCACCAGTGGCCCCCCCAGACATAAGACCCTTCCCATCAGGTTGCCAAGTCACAGAAAAGGTGGATCCAGTTTAGCCATTGTCAAAAGGTTAAGGCAGGCAAGGTGATCCCAGCACTCAGGAGGCTGAGGCAGGAAAATCTCCGTGAGTTCAAGGCCTGGACTACACAGTGGGACCATGTCTCAAAGAAAAAATCTGCCCCCAAAAACCAAAAAAAAAAAAAAAAAAAATATATATATATATACACACACACACACACACACACACATACATATATGTGTGTGTGTGTGTGTGTGTGTGTGTGTGTATATATATATATATAAACTGCAGCTGTGTCAATGCTATCACCTAAACAGGATGTGCTTCTTTCTGGTTATAATTCACGTCAAAAGGAGACACCGGTAGAACATCAGACCCTCTGCACAACAAAGATTCTTTGATCAGCGAAGAATGTTTGGTAAACTCGCCCAGAGTGAAACTAATTGGTTGGGAGCAGATCTAATCTCCCCAAGACACTGCTGCTAAATGAGGACTGGTCAAGGTGTTTGAACTTCACAGGGCCGGCTGGATAATTGGAC